GGCGCGGCACGGCGCAGCGACTAACGCGATTTCTGACGAACGACCGAGCATTATCGTCTGGAACTACCTCTCATGGCGGTGTTGCTCGTTCGGCCTCCTCGAGCCCCCGGTTATGTCCCTTGGTGGAGCTAATTTTGGGCTGAGGTCTTCGCTGTGGGGTCATGGCGTGTGTATTTACAGACTTTTGTTGAGGCCTTGAGAAATGTATGCTTTACCATACACAATAGTATCAGTTTTGTTGATGTTGACGACCAAGTGCTGTTGTTTGATTAAAAACGGTACATGAAAATTCCTAGAATAAAAGTAACATTTAATAAATCACAATACGTGAACAAGTGAAGGTAAATTGGATTGTTAACGAACAAGGAAGAAAACAGTGTGTGTTGTGAGGGAGAAAGCTGTTCGAGTTTCTTGAGAGATGCACATATGGTGTCCCGCGGAAAGAGTTATTTTTTTTAAAATTATAGTTTGCGACAGTAAGCTTTAAAGTACGTTATTAATGTTAATTGTATAGAAAATTAGTGAAAATACTTCGAAATTAAAAGAGAAGGAAAAACATCAGATGTAGAATCATTGAATAACGTTGAATGAAAGGTGACAGATGTTGCCAAAATAAATAGTACATTCTTTGCAACAAAAGTGGACAAATATTCTTAATAAATCTCACAATAAGTGCTTAATTATATGTGTCAGTATGTAATAATTTCTGCGCTGTTGTTGATTACTGCATTATTAATTTTAATTCACGGATAAAGAAAAAAATTGCCAAATGATAGTATGAAGTTCAATTTGGTAATTCTATACTAATTATTTTTGTTTCAAACAGAAACTAAACAGATTGTGAAGTCAGTAATAATATTTGAAATTTTTGTTGTTGTTATTATTATTATTATTATTATTATTATTATTATTATTTCATAGAAAGTTACACCATTATAGGGGGCATGGTTTCGACTAAACTGGCCTCTACATACGAGTACGGCCTTGTAGAGATGAGGGCCGTGGGAATATCTTGATAGCAGTGCGTGAGCGCTTGATCGACATGATCTGTCGAAAATGGCGTGTCAAAACCGGTTTCGCTGGACAAGGATATGAACGCTTACATTTCACCAAATCTCCAGCAACCTTCACAGTGACGGAAAAATTACTATTTCTGCAAACGAATATTAATCTTTGGCCATCCGGTAGAAAACACGGTAGTAAGAAGAAGCAAAAACTTAAAAAAATATTAAAGAAGAAACATACATGAAAATTAAACGTTAACAACTCCAGTTGTTGAACGAGGAACATCCGCAAAGTAAGTTTCCCGTGGTCACCGACAAAAAGGAAACAATTTAATGCAAATACTTCATTGTAGCAGACACGTCACATGTTGAAGTATGTCATACCGTGGGATTAACATTTGTATCCTTGCGTTGTAGAAATCTGCCGTCCAGGATAGGTGCACGTATTTGACAGTCATCCGTAACTGGTCTGTGTGTTACGCGTAACGCGGTCCGGTCAGGAATTTTTGGGGTACAAGGAAAAATAGAAATCGTTGAGTGGCGAAATGCGGGCTCGGCTCACAATAGATCTCCACCAATTCCGCTGGGAAGTGTTTGACTATATTTTGGATGGATTTTTCACCTAGCTAAGTATCGGGTATTGAGACAATTACACTCAAAATAAATCAATCCCGCATTTACAAAGATTAAAATTTTTGAATTTCTGGTTAGTTTAGAGGATCTTTCAAAACAACACGAAAGATGCAGTTCCCTTTCAGCTTATTTCCAATTCAAAAAGTGGCAAGGATATACCGATCCGAAATATAAAATTTCATATGGACACTAGAAGATTTTTCTCTCACTTGACACATTTTGGCAAATGGAATGAACTGGTTATGATGTTAAACAATTTATATCAACTTTTTCTATTTTTTCTTTTTGTTTGCAAAACGAGTGATGACAAGTATAGAACACGTAATGTGTACACTCTCATTAACGTGGGGAAGACATCAACATACATGAGACCTTCTGTTGTTCTTCAATGTGCGATAATAATTCAAAACGTTATATAAATAATTTGTAGGTTGGGAACAGCAGTACTGGTGGTTTACACAATGTTCCGCATTTTTAGTATTATTCAGGTACTCCTCGTTAAAAGGAGAATTAATTCAAATACGGTCGCGGTTTGCCCACAGTCACTACAATAAATAAGATATTTTAATGTGTTTATTTTTAAATTGCAAAAACTCAAAATGCATTGGATTCCAAACGACACGCACCATGACAATAATGTGTAACCTCACAGCAGATCCATTAAATGAGCAGAATGTTTAAAAACTTCGTAACTTCTGTTGCAAACATTCCCCAACACCCAATCATTAGTGGAAGAAGCCACACCCTTATCCGATAAAAATATGGGTGATTTTGGAACCAACCCTGAACAAGAATAATCAACGCCCTGTAAATAAAATGTATCGTGAATATAATTCTCTCCTTAAACATTTCACCTCTGTCATTAAAATGGAATAAAATGTTGTACTTTGCTAGATAAACAAAAAAATTAAAATGAGAGAAAATAATTAAATATATTTAACTTAAATTATTTTTTACAACTACATAAACAAGACTGAAAGAACCATTTAGAAAGAATGGAACACAATAGGATATCTAAATAAGAACTGCAGTTCAACCCAACAGGAAGTAGGAGTGTAGGAAGACTACGCAGAAGATGGTTCGATACGTGAAGACAGAACAGGCAGCCGCATAATCCTTGAAGTGCAAAAGAAGAAAAAGTAGACGAAGGAAAATATAATTCATTCCAAAATCAGGAATAAACGACGAAGACTTTTGTGGACAGGGATTTTGCTGATTCTCAATAAAGCCCAACCCCAGGATATAAAAGCACGTCCTTTCCATTAGTTCATTATTTCGTTAACCACGCGTGATTTCTGACTACTAAGGACGCTTCTTTTAACACTCATGTGCGCCCAGGATTCGCTGCAAGCATACGGTGCATGGCACGAAATATTTGCATTAGTATGTCTGATACCGTTGATAATACGCTTCTCTTCAGATGATGTATTTGAGCGAACACATTTTGTGTATGAACATTTTCCTGATTAACAATGTCTTTCAGAAGTATCACATCGCGTACGATACACGCGCTATAATTAATTTCATGTCTATGGTGTGCTCAATAGTTCAATCATAGCCGCCCTTCAGCTGGATGAGATTTCATCAGCTGCGATATTTCAGTGGCAACAACATTGGCTCTGCGACATGGATGACCGGGAAGTTAGAGTGAATCTCTCGATGGTGGAGAATCTTTTGCACTAGGAACGATGCTAAGTTGAAGTCAACCACTGCATGCAAGATAACTATTGCCGGCGGTTGGTCTTGTTAGTAGTTTTCTGTGTACTTTTATCGATACAAGTGTAATGCCGTAGATATGCTCTAACAAATTGGATTCGGAATATTCACAGTATTTCCTTCCTCATCCTTGAACCCACTTTAACTCTGAATCCAAAACACCCACACTTACATACATACTTCTACCACACATTTCGAGCTTACTGTGGGGAGCATAGAATTTGTCCGAGTAGGGTCCCGACAGTGGCAAGATTTTCGACTCTAGCTTGTCAGCTAGGCCGAAATAAGTCTCCATCTCTAGAATACTCTTTTTTTAAAGATTACAATTTCAGAAACTTCACAGGATTTAATAAAACTTGGACTTATTTTTGTGGCTACTCGAGGAGAGCATGTAAATAAAATGTACTTTTGCATTGTCGACAATCGAACACATTTTTTATATTGAAGTTTCAAAAGAATTCTCCCAAAACAACGAAAACTAGCCATATTACTATAACACAATACGTAAAATGATTTTAAAATGTAATATTAGAGAGCTCATTGAGAATGAAACCTCTAAACACAATATTGCAGGAATATTAATAGTTTTTAAAATACCTTATTTAAAGATGTATTTGTTAGCTCTTATTTCATTATTCTCTTACAATCAATATTGTAGTTTTGCCATGTTAACTTTTGCAATTTTCGAAAATACAGTTCACTAAAAATACAACCTGTGTTATTTTTATAAGCGTATTCTGCTCTATTTAAAACAACCTAATTCAACAATTTGATATAGTTTTTGAGAAACTCTTGTTTTAATATAGCCTCTATTTTACGCGAAAATTTACAACTTCTTAATTGTACCTGATATTTTTGTAAGATCTGTCGCTGAACAGATTTCATTACCATAAAATATTTTTTTTAATACTGTACCTCACAGGAAGGCACTGGGAAAGTAGGAATCTTCTCCATATCTCGAAAATTCTGGAAGTTCATCAAAAATGGGCAGGTGCCAATTTTATAATTATCTGCCCATTTTTTTGCACCAGCATCTGCGCCTTTTTCATTTATCTATCCGATGAAAAAACATGATTTACAAATTTGAATCACGTTCTGAGAAAATTCTGTAAATGCTGGGTCTTAAAGTAAAGTAACCACAAAAATCAAAATATCCGATTCAAATTTGGAGGGCCTCGAGATTGACTAAAACGTGATTTCTGACTACACAACGAGTTAGAGAAAGTAATTTGTTACACTACAAACAAGTAATATCAAGTGTTTTAGTATCAGACTCTCATAAAACAAGTTTTTCTGTCAAAGAATCGCTATTACTTCGGGCAGTATTACAATACTTTCTCTACTCTACGTAAATAACGAGCGAGAAAGAGAAAAATCGTTTATAGTCATTCCTACTTATGTGTAGGAATCGCTTATCGTATTGCAATTGTCACTATCGCTTATCATCGGATGTCATCGAAACTTTATTGTTATTCATATTTTGGCGAAAAATAATGAACTTCATTGTTATTCATACTTTGGCTATTCATAATTTACAAACATTCTACGCACTCAGGGAAAATGGTGAGTTGTAATTTTACTTACCAACGAACTCAGCTTTTTCCGGGTGGTTCAATATCGGCTACCATTATTTATATGGTGATTGACAGACGTGTCTGAAACAAAGAGAAATAATTCTGAGAGTTTCAAAGGATATTTTATTTGACAAAGAGTGAATGAGTGGTTTTGGTGGTGAATGCGTTTTAGTCATAATAAAATACATATTTTATATTTAAAATTCAGAGTGTGCATATTAACTTTTCTGTGATTTCCAATGAACTTTCAATCCTATATTTTTAATGTTTGATCCGTCTTATCTTCCAATAAAGGGCTCTGGTTTTAATGAGTTTCCATTTCCCGTACATGGTATTATTTATCGTTGGCATTATGGTAATTTATTGATATTGTGATAATTAACTCAAGGGTTATTATAAATATTGGGACGGTGTGGCATTTTAAATTCAATAATACAGCAAAACAATTGGGCATAATCCGGTGGCAGATTCTCCACCAGATATTGTAAAATAATAACCACACTATAAACTTAATTGTAGAACAAACCAATAACAACAGTGGTAATAAATGTCGGAAATAAGTCCAAGACGTTTTCTCTGCACCACGTTGCAGTTTAATGTTGTATTACCAGTAATCATTTAACATGCCTTAACAGAGGATTATCCTAATTTATTTCTAAAAGAAAATATACTTAGAGAAAAGGCTTTGGAAATTGCAGTGTTGCTGTTCCAATCTTCTTGATTACTTAATGACACTTTCCCAAACTGTTTCCTTGCTTGAAGTCCGTGAGAGTGATCAGCCAACGTATTGTATTTTCTCAAGTCTGAATTAAATTTCCTAACCAGCCGCTAGTTCTACATACTATTTATAAAAGTCACAAAGACATGCTCTTGTTTTGTTTTCTACGAATTTTTAGTACTATTTTACTGTGTTAATTTCCAAAAGTAATCTTTGTAAACTTGTGTTTATTTTTTCTAGATTTTCTCGGTGTGGAATTTTGTACCGATCTCAACATGTCACATCCTGTTTCATGAGAGGGCGCAGAGAGATAAAGATGCAAACGCTTTGACAATTATTAACATTTTCTGAAGTTTCCGCTTTACGATAAGCACGTACTTTCAGGTTTTACATGCTACACTATTAAACTAAATCACCCATCGTAATTTACTAACAATATGTAAATACTAAGATTCTGAGTACCTTGGAATAGTATTCTTAACTCTGCAGCTCCACGGTTCCTGTTTCGACCTGTTTATGTTTATACATAAGTGATTTGCTCACCGAAATATTAATTTCCATATCCTTTGTTTCAACCCAATTACGTTACTGTTCTAACTCCTATTGCAATATTTTTTCATCAGATTCACCTTTAATTTTGCGAGATATAACACAGTCGTTTTCAAATGAACTTACTTTTCTGAAGATCGTTTAAGTACTCAAAGAGAAGAAGAGACACTAAGATACAAAGGCACTGTGCATCCTAGGGGCAACATTGCCCGTAGTTGACATGTGTTTCCAAAGAGCAACTTTATCCAGGCACAAAGACATTTGTTTATCATCTTCATTAGTATCCATTCCTAGAATTATAATTTCGTAATAAGCAGATAATGTAACTTCTCTTTCGCTCCCTTGTCTTATCATTCACCCGCATGTCTTCTCATTCACTCACTTGCCTTCCGACTCGCCCACTAGCCTTATCACTTGCCCGCTTGTCTTCTTACTTCGCCGCTTACTTTCGCATTAGCCCGCCCGCTAACGTTTTTACTTGCCATCTCATTCGCCCACTTGCCGTATCTCTCGCCCGTTTGCCTCGTCACTCACTCGCTTGCCTCGTCTCTCGCTCGCTTGTCTCCTCACTTGCCCATTTGCCTTGCCATTTGTCTGCTTGCCATATCACACGCCTTCTTCCTTTCTCACTTGCCCTCTTGATTTCTGACTCGTTCACTTGCCTCTTTACTTGCTCGTTGTCTTCTCATTTGCCTGCTTGCCTTCTCTTTCATCCACTTCCCTTCTCACTCGTCCGCTCGCCTTCTTCCCTTCTCACTTTGCTTTCTCCTTCGCTCATTACCCTTCTCCCTCACCCGCTTTCCTTCTCACTCCCCTACTTGCTTTCTCATTCGCCCGCTTGCCTTTTTACTTGCATGCTTTCCTTCTCACTCTTCGTCCTGCGGACTCGCCCGCCTGCTCGCCCACCCGCCTGCTCGCTGTGTGCCGCTGAGCATCGATCCACAGTCTCGCACATCCGCCTCCCTTATCCTAATTCCGGCCCCTCCCTCGCTTCCTCTTCGGACCGGCGGGGTCGCGGACGTCGCATTAAGCAGATCTGTTGCCTCTGGCTATTGTCGCGCCTACCTCGGTGGACATAATGGCCTGGTGCTGTTCGGCTCTGCCTTTGTTTGCTCTGCTTAAGATGGTGTGTTTGCATTTGGGTTCTCCTTCTTGCAGCAAGGTGTTGAGGTTCGCATTCATTAGCTATATTTTTTTTTGCGAGAGAACTGACTCGTATAATAATTGCGTTAGAATGTTTTGCAAGACATTAGGTGCAACTTACGGCTATGGAGGAGGCCGAAGGGAACTTGAAATTTATTGTATTAAAACAACCAAATCGAGTTATAAAGGCTAATAAATTAATGTTAGAGTTATGTTTCTTAATCTAATTTATAATTATTGTACCATGTAGGGTAAAAATATGAACTTCGATGTTTATCCGTTGAACCACATTAAAGAATAAGTCCCAACTTGATGACGGACAGTTAGTTCAAATAGTTTATTTCCATAAATCACAGTTTCATTTGTTAAAACACATTGTGTTTAAAAGCCGCGAAGTTTCAACACGCGATCAATGATGTAAAATTCTACAAAGAAATTTAAAAAAATGTTTTAAAAAAGTTATCTAAACAATAATTATTTTGAGAATGTGTTCGCATTTTATAATATCTCGGGTATTTATATAATTTTACAGAATGCGAAAAATTTATCTGCCGTGATTTTTGTCACTATGTCTCAGGTCATCGTTTGTATATAGTACATGTATATATTGTAGTATAATGTGTATAGTATATAGTATACAGAGCAACTTTTTTAATATATTTCTTGTTTCCTTATTATTATTCAATGACGGTACTGGTAAGAATAATTATCTGAAGGCATATTGAATAGATTTTGTAACCCGAGTTCGTAGAATTCTTCTCTAATGTATCTATTTACTCATTAACTTATGAATTCATTTCTTTACCGATAAATTCGTGAATTTATTGCCCTTTTTATTTATTAATTAGTCTTTGATTTGTTCATTTATATCATAGTTTATCGAAAAACATTTAATTCATCTACTAATTCATTCATTACTCGTTAATAATAATAATAATAATAATAATAATAATAATAATAATAATAATAATAACAACAATTTTATTTATGTGGCGACACACGGACCATCAGGTCCGTTCTTTCGTCTAACCATGTAATACATAAATGTGTAGATAAAAATTGAACAGTACATTTAGTAACAACTTAGATATATCATGCCCCTGGGCTTACAAAACCTAACGAAAAAACAATGTCTCAACATTTACCTTAAGCGGCCGTTTACCCATAAATTCATTCACACCTTCATTTATTCATTAGTCATTCAGCATTTATCTGTGCATTCATTCATTACTTATTATTTCATTTAAATTTCTTCAATATTTGCAAATTCTTTCATTCATTTTGCTTTCAGTCATCATTTAATTGTGCACGCACACAGTGATTTGCTCACTCACTTCAAAATTATTATCTGAACACTTTTACTACGTTCAAACACTTTTTCATTTATATATTCATCCACTCATCCATCCATCCATCCATCCATTCATTCATTCATTCATTCATTCATTCATTCATTCATTCTTTCATCTAACAATTCATTCTCTTATTCACTCTTACAATCCATCCCTCACATTCATTTATTTTCTTCCTGTCAGTAACTATTACTCAATCACTAACTGATTAATTCATTCCCTGTATTATGTTTTATATTTTTTGTGCGTGTTTTCTTCAGAAGCCACTGTGTCGATGCCTCATTCGAAAGGCGCGACATTCTATCAAAGTAGAAAAATGTGTCCCTGACTGCGCAAAAACAGCGGCCTGTCCGCGTGCGCGCCCTTTTTTTTGGCGAGGGCGCGCCGCCTTCGCCATGTGTGGGCCAGAGTGACGACGGTCGCCGGCGCTGGCAAACAGCGGGCGCGCTCGTGAATGGGCGAGCGGAGCGGAGAGGAGCGGAGGAGGAGGCGGCGGCGGCGGCGACAGCTGCGCCTTGAGGCGGCCGCGGCGTCGATGAAGATTGGCGGTCGAGGGCCTCCGCAGCGCCGCCGCACTCTGCACCCGCCAGCACAGATTGCGCGCCCCGCCCGCCGACCCCCCCCCCACACCACACACACTCACACACACACACTCGCAGGGCGTCGCTGACCTCAAGCTCGACGCCTGCGAGCGTCAGTGAGGTCACAGCAGCGGCTCACGGCCGCCCCCCCCACCCGGGCCGAAACCGCCCACACAGACGTCCCTTCCCCTCCCCAATTCTATCCTCCTCACTCGTACATTCACAGTCAGCCCACAACAAGCCGGCGAGCACACCAACACCTGATATCACGCTGCATATGGACGCCCCTGGCTCTTCCATCACGTCGCTCTGGCCGCACGCACCGGCTGGGAGAGGTGGCTCAGGGCATCGACTGATGTCGCTGCACAGCCTCTGACCGGGAGGTCTTAAGTTCGAGTCACGACGGCGGTAAGGCTTTTGACACTCGCTTGTCAGCTAGGTCGAATTCAGTCTCTGTCGCTGGAGGAGAATCCTAGCGGCCCGCTGCTGTGATCATTAGTTTTCCCTGCTTTCTTCGATCAACTCTAGGCGAGGAGCTAACAAACGGTCCACGGACCGCACTCTATCTTTCCTTCTCCTTCTTTGTCCTATCCTCACCCCCTACTTACACTTACTTCAACATGCACTGCACTACCACACATGCAGGGAGAAGGGTTGGGAGCTTTGAGCTTGTCCCGGCTAGGGCGGGGCTCCGCTGGTGGGAGATGATACCTGGTAGGGGAAAACTTTGCCAGCTGA